ATCAGTCTCACTCAGGAGAATAGGGAAAGCAAAGCTTCATGATGGAAAAGATTCAAAAGCTTGAAACAGTCCTCTCCCACCCTGGCTGCCTCATCACGCAGTTTCTGATGCAGGCAGTTTCTGATGATCTCTGATGCTGGGGTACAGTAAGAAATCCAAATAGGGTGACATTAATCATCTGTGCTCTGGAATTATGGACCTCACTAGCTGTGGATGTCATAGAGGTAATAAAGCTGAGGGATGAGTTGCTTAAATTTATAGAGCAGGTGCAAGCATTAACTAAACTTTTCAGAAGATTAGTCTTACATTTTAAGATGGGAGTTAATGATCTGATTATTTTTCTAGTTCAGTAAATCAGCAAGTAAGTGACTTATGGGACCCTCTTTTTCTCTTTAATCTTACTTGAGTGAATCAGTGAAAAGAACTGATATATATTTGCTATCTGTGACCTATTTTGACAGAAGTCAAGCAACAGAGAAGCTTCAATCTAAAAGTTTCTCTTCCGTGAGAAATTGTGGTAGTTTGGCATTTGAGTCTATTCTGACACAGAATCAAACATGACCTGAGAATGAAACATGAGCAAAGGCTTCCTTCAAAAAACATGTGAATAATTCAGACTCATAATATCACTTTAGCATTAACAATCAGAAATAGTGGTTTCAATTAAAACAAAAAAAAAATTACTTCAACCATTTTAGTTATATGCTATAAACAGTCATAAAATCAATTTTAAAATCAAAGTCATTTTGAGAAGGAAAATCAAAGACAAGTCATTTTAATCAAAATGCTCTTCCAAATAAAGACTGCAAACTGGAACATTAAAATCAATACCAGTAATGCTACAAGCCTCTGGTAGTTTTCCTCACAAAATAAAAAGTCCCTTTGGGAAACTCAGCTCAGAAAAGCTGGCAGTTTTATTCTCTGCCTTCCTAAAATTAGTTCTCTGATGGTACCAATGTTTTTCTCCCTAGGGTGCAGCAGTTTTGTTCAGTAAGGCTATGTGAAAAAATCCCACAGAAACTAAAACCCATTTAAAGTACCATTTAGGTACATTTAGGTTTGTGCATCTCAAGTTGAAACAAAGGAGCTGTGCTGTACCTGACCTCTGTGGTCCTTCATTATTTAGTGACTTCAGCCTGTAACACAAACTTGCATCTACAATCTGAAACCCACAGCTGTCACTCTACAAACAAGCTGTGGTGAAATGCAGCAAGCAGGCCCCCCTTCATTATGTGGCATCCAACAAATACACAACTATCCCTGATAAGCATGTGCAGGAGATAAATTCTTTTAAAATAAATAAATAAATAAACAAAACAGAACAAAACAACAGTCATCTTATTAGTGCATATTTTTTTGCACAAGGGAAAATGATGAGAAGGTAGAACTAATTATTTCCAGGGGAAAATACTCAAGCTAAAGCACATTATTTGCATTTTATTGTCTCTGCAGAGGTGTAAATTGCTGTCATCTTGGGCTTTATATTGCACTGATAAGGTGCTTCTAGGAAAGGGAAACTAGGCAGAAAATTGGCTTCATTATGCATTTCTGAGACGCTTATATTTAATCATTACGAACAGCCAATCTTTGAATAATAAACTGGGGGTGGGATTAAACGGTCAAAAAGAAATGTCTGCAGCTGCAAGGTTATGAAAACATCATTTGATGAATTACCCTGAAATGGAAGAAAGGACTCATGTCCCAACCTTCCCAAAAAAATCATAACACAAAAACCACCTCAGCATCAATAGAATTAGAAGACAGGGAACTGGCAACAAAGGAAAACTAAAGAAATTCTTATATAGTAGATCCATCTGCTTCCTTTCATAATGCAGGGACATTACCAGAGAAATTTAAAGGCAATGAGCTTTAGAGAACTTGAAGATGGGAAGAAGCAATGGTAGTATGTCACATTCCTACTTTCCCTGAAAACCTGTGTAAGATCCTCCACAAAAAACAAGTGGCAGAGGATGTTCACAGGAATTATGACCTGAGGACAATCTCAGTTAATTCCTGAATTTGAATTAATCCACATTGCACAGCAGTTGCCTCTGCATTTTACTAAAGCCTTGTAACAAGGTGGTTATATTCAGTTTTCAGCATAGTGAAAAATAAACAGTAGGCTAAATCCACCATTCCATAACATGTTCTCTTATTAATTCAGCTGATTGATATTCTGGCAGATATATTAATTTTCCCCTTTCTTTAATTCTGGAGCTTGAAGACCATCATACCCTTAAGTGACTGCAAACCATACCTCTTGAAGAGACTGTGTACCTGACAGGTACCGTTGCGAGGGTTTTCCAAACACTCTTCAGTTCTGCATCTTTATTTCATGACTGAGTTGAGTCTATTTTTTCTTTCAAACTACACTGTATGTCAGATGTTTTTAATGACACTACAATAACATGAGAAGCTATTAAGGTTTAGCACACTTGGACAGGGGCACATCAAGGTGATGCACCACATGGGCTGAGATCCATGGCTACAGTTTTTTTAAGGAACAAAAGAAAGTCACATGTATGAGGAGTTAAAATGAAAAATATTGCTGTCAAATAATACGATTAACTGTTTCCTCTAGCATTACCACTGCTAGAAATAAAATTTAAACAATGATATTTCATTAATATTTTTTCCACTAATAGGTTGGGGTCTTTTCTGTAAATTTGGGAAGAGGCAAGCTGTTAAATTTTTCACAAAAAGCAAAAGTTAAAAAGTTGTAGCTCTACATAGAAGAGAATGATAGTGTAAGAAAATATTTCCATTTTGACTAGTATGACATATTTTTGCTACATATGCACTTTCTCAGCTGCTAATCTTCAAAGTTTTCAACAGTTAAGTTGATGGATGAAGTGAAGAAAGATTTCTTGACAGCCTGGTAATCTATCCAGAGGGGAAGGGACATTGTCAGTCATGGTTCAGGTACTGGAAGGTCTTCTGACGAGCCAAGAATCTGTACATCTAGAAGGCCAAGCACTATTTTTCCCCACTACTCATCTCACAAGAATTAAACCAGCACTGTCAAGAGGCATGCAGGCGATAAGACAAAATACTTTATTTTGTACTGTCATAGAGAACTTTCAGCTTTGTGAACACTTACTATGTTTATATTATGTTCAATAAACACACAGAGAGTCGTGTAAATGCAATCAGTACTATTGAAATTAATAGCACCACTCCCAATTGCACTATCTTCTCCTGTATCTTACACCATTACAGTGTTACTGTAGGCTGCAGCGAAGTAGTGGTAGCAAAATAGGCAATTAATTCCCCATGCAAATCTCCCATACTTCTTCAATCCTGCTGACCATGCCTCCCCACCGGTGCGAGTTCCACTGACACTTTCCTTTTGACTGGGAGTTGCGTATGACCTCCTGCCACTACAGAAACACCAGTGCCTGGCAGCAAGGGCTCTCTCTGCTTGCCATCAAGGAGTAAAAATCATTGCTCTCCTCTGCCCACGTACCTCCTTTTATGGCACAACACATCTAAACTGTCTGTGTAGCCCTAGCCTAGGTCCCCATTGCATCCCCATTCCCTCAGACCAAAGACAAGTCTGGTACTCATTTCCCCATCCTCCAGCCCACAGCCCGGCCTCCTCTGGTAGGAACTGAAGGTGTTGGAATTGCACATGAGCTGCAGGATGCTCCAGCCAGCTCCCGTATCAGGGCCAGGCAACCTGGGCATGTCACACCCTGCTGTCACGTGTTAACACGGATGTGGGGTTTGAGGCCTCTGTATTTTTCCCGAAAATATCTGACATTGGCAAAAGGGCTCGAAAATGGGAGGTGGGGGGAGACAAGCAGATGCGTACACACAGACACATACATGCACACACGGGGATCGCGGTTTTCAGGGGAAAGCAGCCCCGCAATGTACAAATGGATAGTGGTTGCAACTCAAAGCACTGTAGTGAAGTATTGCAGCAAACCACACCAGCTTACAGCGGCTTCCATTCTGCTCAGAAAGAGGGATGTGAGTGAGCGACTTCAAAGGGAGCAGAGAGCTGTGTTGACATCTATCTTGCTCCAGTTGTAATGATGAATTTCACCTTTGGGCAACAGTGGCCCACATATTGTGTACAACAATTCAGCGTCTGGGAGCTGAAGGGCTACGTTCCCACATAGATGAGAAGCCGTCAATATTTTTTCAACGTGGTAATTGTGAAATCTGTACTTCTTCTTGGGAAGTTATACCTTGCAGAATTGGCATAAGGAATGCATCTGAGTATACCACTGAGACTATGTGTGAAACAGAAAGCTACTGCAGCCTTTTTTTTTTTTTTCTTTTTTTCTTTTAATCTGTGTAAACCAAATATATGGAAAATGTACAGAAAATGTGAATACATATCCTGGTGCCTAAAGTAAGGAATACTACAGAAAGGACATTGGAGAAGCACATAAACACAAAACTATCATTTATTGGGTCTCTCCCTCCCAAGAAAACTAAAATCTAGAATGAAATATGGTCATTCTGCAGGCACTGCAGCATCACACAGCCTGTTCTGTCCTAGCCCCGTTACTCTCTCTTGAGAACAGCAACATTTCCCTGAAGAAAGGGCCATCTCTCTAAAGAGCTAATATCACTTCTCCCTGATGTGGCATCAAAAGAAACGTCAATGAACATGAGATGATGCTAGGGAGCATAATACAGAAGAAGTGAACAGGCAGGAGTAGGAAATATCTTTAAGGGGAAAACAAACTTTTCTTGTGCTGTATCTCTGCATGATCTTCACCTGTGAGGACATTCATGACATGCAGACTTTCAAGAAGTGACAGCTCACAACAGTATGGTAAACATGGAATATGTTAGCTCTCTAAAACTTACTGTTGGGCAGAAAGAAACATTCAATGTTACCAGAAAAAAATCTTATATGCTGATGTACCACGCAGTTATTTCTCATTTTTCTTTCAAAACCTTGATAAAGATCATCACTTCATCTAATTAAAATTTCACCTGTATATATTTCAGCACAAGCAAGCCAGACAAACACTCCCATGTACAAACACAAAAATATATATGTATTTTAATTTTCGTTTGGTCATATTTTATTTTATTTAACATAATGTCATTCTTCCTCAGTAACCAACAATGATTTAAAGTAGTAGTACTCTCCAAAACAGCCCATTGATCACAGAGAGCTGATGATATTTAAATATACAATATAAAGAGTGACATGTTTCACAAAGTTGCTTCATCTTCGCATTTTAGGTTGGAACACAACAGACCAAAAGTAACCATCTTACTAGGTCCAAGAATAAAATTCAAACTGACAAGTTGTGAAAAGAGAATAGTTACTGAAACTATACATAGAGAGAACATGATTGATAGACTTGTCCTGGCTTTACAAATCTCAGACCCCCTGAGTCCTAACAGTACTAAACTGAGAAACAAACAAACAAATTTTATCCTGAGGATACAAGCACTGTTTACAAATTACTCCTGTAATTTAATTTTTGAATTTTTGATATGGTGCTATAGTTTTTTCCATAAGGCTCCAAAGTAGATTGTTGTGTGCAAAAAAAACTTTATTCAGTGATTACTGCTACACAAGTACTACAGATCATGAGAGCCTTAAGGCACAGATAGCCAATCTAGCAATTTGAGATGTCGCCACGACTAGCTGTTAATCATTATTCTCATAACAGAGTTGTATTCATAGATTATGTGAGTGCTTTTACATTTGCATGAGTGCAGAATCAACAGTAAGTGTGAGCTGTGCACAACCTTCATTGGGACAGGAGTACTTTCATAATCTGCTGTTGCTTAAATGTTGGGGCAGTAGTCCCTACCTGAAGAGTGATAATTAACAGTCAGGGGAAGGTAACATCGTAAATCACAAGAACTGTCTCAGATGACTGTATCTACACCCATGTGGACTCCTAGACAGAGTCTTATTTGTATTCCTCTATGGTGAGGTCAGCTGTTGCTCTCATTTTCCATTTTACCCTGTTACCAGAGATTTGTATAAGGGAAATACTTAAAATAGTGGTCCCCAAGCTCTAGTCTGCAGATTATCAGTGTTGGGTTTTTTTACAGTTTTCTCCAGTTATTCACAGAATAAAGCACGTACAGAAGACAGGCTGCTGTTGAATGAAAGGGGAAGGAGAAGAAAGGATGCAGAGCTGGGAAAATTTTGTAGGGCACATTTTACACAGCAGGCCATAGGGTGAAAGAGCTAGAGAACCAAATGATTTAAGAGACATTATCTTCAAGTTGAACACTAGTTAACTGCTAAACAATTTTTTTTTTTTTTAACAGTGTCAGGAATTCTACATGTGCCCCTCTGAATATATTAATAGTTTTAGAATCATGTTTTCTATTTAATTCCTTCTGCTACCGACGCATGAAAGATGCACATGAACCTCAGGGAAAACCATGTTTAAGGGAAAGTGATTATATACTAACTCCCATCAAGGATACAATGCAACCAAACCCTGAAACTCTGTAAATTACCATAATCTTAGGCATTACTTGTAACAATCACCAATTTAATATTTTTAGACATTCAGCTTCATTTAAATCATCTCCACTCTGAGTGACTAATGGCTACAATTAACATCACCAGCAGAACTGTTTAAAGACACAGGACACAGATCACCAGCTACAGCTCAAAGGCTGCATAATTAGCACAAGACACAGAGGTGCACAGGGGAGATTCCCACACTGCTTACACTCACAGCCTTCTTACACACAGTAGGCACCGATATTGATGTCAGGGCAAGACAGGCTGAGCAAGTGCTGAATTCTCCCACGAGATTATCTCTGCAGAAGGGACTTGCAGAATACATCCCTCCCTTCTCTTCCTATGGACAGCTGGGTGAATATTAGCTTTCCAGCTCCTGCATGCTACAGGATACCCGCAACCCAAAAGCCACCATAGAAACAGCAGCAGCAGAGGCAGTGCAGGCCTGCCATATACATCAGGATTAAATATATTGAAACCAAGTTTCTGTTGGAAAGAGAGAAAGATGTTCTCTCTCCTTTCTCATGACATTTATGTGGTGGGGTTTGTAAGTCTTTGTTTACATTATAGAGCAAGTGAAAACCTCCTTCACCATTACATTAAAATGCTTGATCAGTTCACTCCAACTCCCTATTGTGGTTTTCTCCATAGGGATCCCACCTTTCCTTATGGGCACGTGGCTCCTTTCCTTCTCACCCTCAAGGCTTCTTCAACAAGGCAGGACACGGCATTTCACATATTCCTTTGGGTACCAGGTCTGAGTCAGCCCAGGGTCCATCTCCATGTGAGGATCTGGTGGCATGCACTGATCCATTAAGCCATGTTCACAAGCTCAGCTACTGCACTTACAGCTTCACATGGTAACTCAAGCATTTTCTAAAGATTTTGGAAACTCCACCATGACCATACAAGGTAGACCATGTGAAAAATGGGAACTCTGCTCATAATGTAGATAGGGGGCACAAGATAGACTACTGATTCACTTCTTGGAAGTGTTCATACAAGTTCACTCACATAATTTTTGCCATTCATATGGCTTTCCACTGCAGGCTTGCTTCTGTTTTTTATTTTAATTATTGCACTTTATCATCATCTATTATCTTTTCCCTTGCTTTTTTCTCCCCTTAAAGTTTTATTAACCAAGGAATCTGATTTGAGATGACTGCCTTTAGGCACTGCTGTGTGTTGCCAATGATGCAACAGCCTCTTTATGGGATCACAGCAGCATTTCCATATCAAATACAAATCTTAATTGACTCCCGCTATTTGTCTGCCACAAACTGACAGATATGCCAATTCTCTGGAAGCGAATTCTCCACTAACAGCAAAAGGAAACTTTTTCACACCTTTACTAGAGAGAATTTGTTGTAAATGACTGATTCAGAAACAACAGAGCTGGCTGACCATGGTCCCCATAGATAAAATACTTTGGCCGTGTTTTAACAAAATTGCATGCCATAAAGAACAACCAGCATCTTCCCTTGGAGGTCTCTCTATTTTGCCTGTGTGCAGTGCTTTCCCTCCATTTGGATTCCTCAGTAATATCATTAACTCGGATTTTGAACTCACTGCAGAAACATCTCCTTCTTCTCTCTTTTTAAACTCACCGTGTGAGTCTGACGCGTCTGTTATCAATCGAAGCAGCTGACACAGACAAAACACTGGAGAATGAGTGACAAAGTAGTGGGAGCTTGTGATCTATGTTTCAACTTCACCACTGCCCAGCATACCACAAGTTGTTATTTTTTAACAACAAAATCACTTTGCCAATTGTGCAATCCAACAGGGGTCAATGCTATTTTGTGGTGATAGACCCATATGAAGGGAACAAATTAAGATCCCAAAAGCTGATAGGAAAAAATTCCCACACAACTGAAAGCTGAAATGCAGACTGAAGGTTATGTCCAAGTCAATATGCTAAATACAGACCCTTGACACAGGATCATTTAAGGTTACAAGGCAATACAGATGTGGGGTCCTATCTACCTGGCTTGCACTTCCATTCGTGATCACTTAAACATGTCTCTAAATAAAACACCAACATTCCTTGTGTAGTTAATGGGAAATAAGCATCTTTCAAAACCCTTAAAAGGAGATCTTCCCTGACCAAGTTCAGAATTCTTTACCGGACAGCCAATATTTCCTTTTGAGTGTCTCCAGAGTAAACAACTTCTTTTCCCCATCAATTATACAGGGAAGAAAGACATTTCATTTGGTGGACATACTCCTTTTTTACAATTTCCTCAGCAGAAATGGTAAAATGTACATTCAGGTTTAATTCTACAGGGAAGCAGATCACCCCTGGTTTGCAAAGGTCTCATGGTAAGACATTTTAGGTAGGTTTCTAAAGAAACTAGACAGGACTTAATCAACAACCAGACATTCTTCTCACATAAAATAGGGGCATATTTTCTCTTCTGCAGTTCAAACAAGACTGAGTGATCAAAGTATCATTTTTTCCATATATAAACACAATGTCAATGCCTTCCATTGAGATTTTAATATCTAACTGGCTGTGTTTCTGTTTTGCTACCTGAGAAATGGGCTAACTATTATTTTCTTGATTTCATAGTGTGCTTTGAACTTCATGGACAAAAGTACTATTCTCAGCACCACAAATACATGCTCGTGAGCTACTTGCAAAATGTCTTTCTTTAGAAGGACATGCTACAGCTAGCCACGTGATTAAGTGATTTTTCAGTACAATCCTTTGAGACCTTTGCTCTTGCCTGTCACAATGATATTTATCTTCCAAATTTGTGCCAGTACCAAATGCTGTCGATATCTCAGCAGGTCATTCCCCATAGGCAAATAAAGATTATCAACAGCAAACTCAGCACACACACCCCCACCTCAAACACTATTTTAAAATTATAAACAAAATCCTGATGCCTGATTTTGAATTTTTCTCTCTTCCATGCTCTTTCAAACATGAGTTTTTCGAAAGTCTTAACGAATACATACACTGATAGTAACAGAAACAATAGAATAACAGGGACATGACCAAAGCTTCTTGCAAAGTGTTTCCCAGGTAATTCTAAACCGTAGTTCTTAAGATGTTTGGCAAACTTTTTAATTTCCCAAACAGAACAGGTAAATAATAAAAGGCATGAACAAAATACTGCCAGGTTACAATTTTGTTAGGTAATGTGCTTAGGCTTTGCTGTAACTGTGATTAAATAATACAAAGAACATTCCATGCAAGGTAGTGAGCTAAAGCAATTCTTTGAGAGACATTAAACCAAATCTGCTCCTCCACATATCAATGACCTCTTGAGGTTCCTTCTACTCCTATTTTCTTTAGTTCCATGTTTAGTTTATGTATGTCTCTACAAATATCTTTTGTGACTAGGCATAGCATGTTTGTAGAGTGCAAAACAACTTTTAAAATATGCTATACAGTAAATTTACATTGCTGTAAAGACATCTTAAATCTATATTACAACTAATAACTATTGGGAGCCTTTGTATTTGTTGGATCTTAGTGGAACTGATTACCTGTCTTTATAAATCCAAGAGACCACTGACATCTATGGTTACAGGAGGAAGGCTTTGGGCATGGAAGTTTCCAGAGCTTTTCCATATAATTTTAATTTGTCTCATGGAAGAGGCATCATGTACAGGGACATTTTTAGATCTAGCCAAAGGCCTGAAAATATCAATTTTTACACTTTTTTTTTCTCCCGCTTTTTTTTTTTTTTTCACTTAGTTGCTTGGACAGGTGTATCCAGTTTTTCCACTAAGTTCCTCATATTGCAGAATATTTTTTTAATATGCATATCAGCATGCATAATTACAATAAGGTTTATTCTACCCAATACACAACAAAGGTAAGAAATTAAGATTAATTCCTCCCAAGCATTTGAATTCTGTTTTTAGCATTTTTATTCTGCTATAAAAATTAAACATCAATTCCTATGATAATAAAGATTGGAAAAATTTTTCAGTCAAAGTTGAATCTATTAAAAATTGACCTACCTATAAAGATTTTCTACAAGAAGAAAGGGAAATGTGGAAATCCTTTATGTATTTTCATGTGTAAAATAGACATGCCTTCAAAGAATACTGAGAGCATGTAAAGGATAATTATTTTCCTTACTCATTTTCATATTCTTAACCAATGTCACATCAGCAGTTACCACTGCCAGAATTTGCTTCAGCAAAATAAAAGCTGCAGCCAAGAAGACCTGTAGCCCAACTCTTTAACAGTGAGGATCTTACTGAAAAAGTAGTTTTGTTCTTGGTGAAAGATGAGGTCCCAGTTACACAAAATTATAATATATCCTACTTTCACTTTTGGGAAAGAGTATACTAATACTCATTAACTTGAAGCTGAAATCAGGCATCAGAGAACATTACATAAATTACAGCTAAGCGCATGAATAAAGCATTTGCAAACAAAACAAATTTATAAGCTTCAAAACAAATGTTAAGCTCCATAGAGTTGAAGAGGTACACTTTCCTACAAAGATGCTCTTTGGGGATGTAAGAGGCATTTGCATTTTCTGACCAGACAGCTGGTGTACTCTAAAATCAGCATTGTGCTGGTTTACACCAAGGTTTGGCCCATGTATCCAAAATCATCCACTAAGATTTTGATCATCACTGTGTCACAGTTTGCATACATATAGAATACTGATTAAATGCTGAAGCCCTTACAAGGAGAAAATTTCTACTGAACATAGAGTTTTATCTGATATGGATTTAAAAACCAGATTGGTGGCAATATACTCTTCTACTAACCATGAGTGTGAGCATATATAACATACATTCAAATATGGCACTTATGCAAACCCTAGAGACACATCTCACATATCCAGCATGACATTATGAGGTATGTGAAAAATAGGAGTGAATAAAACAGTATATAAGAATTCATCAATCTTCCAAGTCTCTCGAACCATATTAGTATTACAACAACTTCTACTGGAGGACAGTAGAAACTTGTAGGACAGACTGAAAAGACATTCAGGCTGTCTTTGCATTTCATAACACGTACCATGAAAATAGAATTAGGAGAGCAAAAAGGCAATGACTTGTTCAGACAAGTTCCTGCAATGTGATAGCGTGTTGGGGCATACACTATTTATGAGCGTTGCTAATGAACTGCGAAGTAGGAAAGCTTTACAAGTGTGCTGCCTGGGCTAATCAAGGGTGATGCTGGAAGAGACAGGGTTGTCTCAGCCCTGAGAAACGCCAAAGCTGCCACCACCGAAGTTACAGCTCAACTCTGAGACAACACACTTCCGAGATTTCACTCTCTGCTCTCTCTTAACTCATCTCAGCCTACTAAATCTTAAAGCTGCAGTCATCCTGGGAGAGGAAAGGTGACCTATAACCAGAGATTTTGAAACTTCAGTGATCACTGAAGTGATGGTAGAAATTCTTTAAACTCTGGCACCTGCAAGGCAGGGTTGCTGTGATCCATCTCCTCCATCGTGGTTAGTGTATTCTCAACTAATCCCTGCATTGCCTGGACATGCTCTTACAATACCTCTAACTATTCAGATGTCTTGGTGGGCACCCTGTGTCTTCTCACTCTGATTGCAAATTCCTAAGAAGAAATTACATTCTTGCCTCAGCATACAGGCTGCACACACATCAACCATCACAAAAAGATGACACAGCCCTTGTGTTTCAGCTGATTTACCAAATCCCTAGTGAAACCTGTTGCCCTTTTGAGGTAAGATGTATTTCCCTATTATGGCACATGTTCAATATATACAGTTACACTACAACCAAAACAAAAGTATCCTAAACACATAGGCAGAGATGTTTGACTACAACTTATTCATATTAATCATTCCTTGAAGTGGGATGCTGTTGTTCCATGGAAAATTTTACTATATTAATAATGACATTGTCTCAATATACAATCTATAATATAGCTAAGTACATTGAATAGGTATGATTTCTTGTATAAACCTTCAATTAAATATACTTGTCTAACAATGTCACCTTGTATGCTTGTCACAGATCGGTAAAAATATATATATATATGTATCCAGTCTCCCAGTGCACAGGATTCAACGATTAACTTTTAACCTCTGCTGCCAGGCTTTACTTTCAAATACCTATTATTACACTGTATTTAGGGGACTATTTTCTCATTCCAAGGGAGAACAGAGTTCTGGAAAAATTATTGACATGCACCCAAAATGCAAGAGAAGTAACTCCAATGTGTACCACATTACAACACCCAGATTAGGGTGACAAGCCAGGTTACTTGCGAACTGTAAATGAAAGTTTAAGGAAGAAACCTCACAGATGCATTTAGCCAAACAACAAAGCTGTCAAAGAGTTGGTTCCAGCTCATCTGTTATCTTTTTCTCAATGCTACATGGTTTATGCTAAAATACAATCCTAAACCACAGAGTTATTTGGGTAATCAGTTCCTACAGTTCGGAAATATTCAACTGATTACAGCATCTCCAAATTCCTATATTCCCTCTATCTTCACACACTACATGAGCATTGCAGAGAGAAAAGAAAACAGCAGTCAATACACTAGCTGCAATATGGCTTCCTATGAGAAGGACAACGTTTAATTGGCTTTGATATCTTTCTTTGTCCGGTGTGGATTTCTCTGTGTGTATGTGTGTGCATGTGTGAGTGCGTACATGTTTTCTTCTCTTTTTTACGGTGCACTTCACTGACATATTTAATAGTCATTCATTGCCATAGCATTTGCTTACCATAACTTACAAAGTCAAATTAGACGATTATACTGTATTTACAAACAAGTTGGCACTTACAGAATAAATTATTGATTCCTCTTTATTTTTTATTTCATTTTATTTTCCTTTTTTCTCCTCTTCTTTTTCACCCAAGGGCATCCAGAATTCAGGCAGAATAGTAAAACCTGCTGCCTGCTGCCATTATGCTACATTAACACAAGTAAATAGGATTCCAGCTGATATGCTCTTCCCCAACGTTTTTTTGATGCTGAGAGGCAGTGCCTTCCACCTCAGTTCATGTCCGATGCTCAGGAACTGTTAGTCAAGTGAAAGCAAAGGTTGCATGTTTTCTTCCTCATTCTTATCCATCCGTTTCAGCACCCCAGGATCCACAACTGACTGAGACCTGCAGAGGGATAACATGTTTATTTGACAGTTCTAGATCAAGACAAATGAGGGTAAACCTCAGCTTTCTTTTGTTTATTTTAATCTCTGACAGGGCTTAAAAACGATGGTACAGCATTAGCCAAGCATCTAATCATTCCAATTAGCCACAAAATACCCTCATGGAGTGATTATATGGTTTTAAAGGGCTCAGTGCTGGTTTGTAGATATAGGAGAAAAAGGTGGAATAAAATGAATCCTCTTCAGTGAAAGAGGGTGCATCCTCAGCACAAAACAGAGGGCAAACTAAGCTGTCTTTTGTACTGCCTTAAGCACTGACCCCCTCTACCAGAAGGTTATACAGCATCAGGCTGGTAAAGAGTGTACAATTCAGCCATCCAGCTGGCTAATGGCACACTGCAATTAGTGGCATGTGTTAGCTGGAAGCACAAGTTGCTCCTTTTCTGAATAGCACTTAAATGCAACAGTGCAAGATACTAAGCCAACCCTAGGGAACCCTGCCATGGCCAGCAGAATTTCTGGAGCAGCGGGCACATCTGTCATACTCACTTAGCATTTCAACTAAACAGAGCAGAGAGGGATGGTAAGGGCAAACTCAAGGATGATTGTAAAATTTCTCCAGGTTCTCCGTTTCAGCACAGAAGCATAACAGTGGTAGTGGTACCCTGCAACAGCCAGGTGTGAGGGAAAAAGAGGAACCCCCAACCTCCAGCAAAATCTAAATGCTCCATTAAAAACAAAGTCCGAGGTGTTTCTCTGTCAAAAGGTAAACACTTCTGGGCTACAGTAAAATCAGCCCTTGTTAGATGTTTCCTTTAGTGAAATGAATCATGCTAGAAATGCCTGTTCATTTCTGTAAAGACAATATGAGATGGCTAGAGCATATGTACATCTCTACAATAAAAGCACACTGACTGCAGCATGGCTACAGATTTGCCCGTGTGTAGAGCTACAGCACAGAGAAAAACCTCTATGAATTCTGACCTCTCCTAAGGTAAACATACAGTCAGTTCCCCACTCATAAACTGGCATCATGAAACCAGTGTATGAGGCTGATAGCAGGAGACAGTTCGGTCTTTCTCAAAAAATCTAAAGAAAACCTTCAAAATCACAAGAAAAAACATCTGAATTAGAACCTAGGTGACAGCTTTAAACAGGATATTTTCTAATAATACTTGCTACATTCTCTTACTAATGTTAAAAATCAAGAAAATTGGCTGTAAAAATCTGATAGTCTCTCTTGTGATAAACATAATCTAAAAATTTTAATTAAAACTGTACAATAACCATCATCTAGAACACTGATCAGTTAGTTCCTCAGGCAGAAAACTAAACCACTGAATTAAAAATTCTTTTTTAAAATCTTCACAAGGTATTGTGCCAATGCAAAGCCGATTGAAAATTTGCTGGTGGAAAGCTTTACTCCTGGAAAATCCAGTTTATCAAGATAAAAAATGCTGTGGAAGCATACTAATCTCAAAGGATTCCCAACTGAATGTAAGTACTAACAGGAGACTGAGCCTCTTCTTCAGCTGCCAATGTCTGAGCAGCCAAGGTTTCCAGGCCTCATCTGGGAAGCTGAAGGGGAGCTGGAAAGGCTGCAAACCTGGCCTCAAATTCCCAGTGAGGAAGTTTTGGCCATAAATTCTCAGGACCTCCAAACTCCCTGATGCCAAGGCAGACATGAAAATGGAACTGCACAAATCCTGATCTATGGTTTGTAAGCTCAGGAGCCTAAATGCCTTGAAGAAGGAGAACAGTTTTCATTCAGTTTTAACATTTACTGCCATGTTTCATTCCATTCAGCAGCAATTCATAAATGAAGGTAGGTAAAAGGAAAAACATTTGTGTAAGTCTATAGCACCTTCTATCTATGTCTTCCAAAAAACTTTACAGACATTACTGAACAAATTCTTACAAAACACAGTAGGACAGACTTGTACTACAAAGTCCTGCTGCAGAGGTGAGGAACCAAAGCCATATAAGAGATACTCTGCAGAGGTGACCAACACAGACATCTGCCTTGCAGGGTAAGGTGAGAAGAGGATGCAGGTCTCCAGTTGGGTGTCTCAGCCATGAGCACCATGGGTGGACGCAGCCACGGGTGAAACATGACTGCTGAGATAGCTGCAGTGGTGCCACATGACACGAACATGCTCTCTCCAGAGGTCTGTGCTACAGGTGGGATTAATTCCTCTTTATCTCCACCACCATCCCCATGATCAGCCCTCCTTTTAGGTAGAGGTCATCCAATTCACCAAAAGCTCAAGTTGACGTGGAGGGATGTCAGTGGTTCATATGGGGGCAAAAATGAGTACGAAATGAATTCTCAGCAGTATTTTAGTTTAAGAAGAATATTCTTTCAGAGCAACAAACCAATTTTAAAATGTCAAGCCAAATTAAACAAGATAATTGTTGGAGATCTGGTAGATGCTTGTGAAATTTTTTCTAAGAAGTTAAGCACTTTTCATTGACTTACTGTCATGAGTTTTTATGTTAAAAATCTTCTTCTGCACTAACATACCACACTGAGTTTGGTTTTAAACTGAGAGAAACAATCCATCAGGTGCTGAATTCAAGTTAAGTTTCATTTTTAATTAAATAGAGTCCAGCTGGTTTACCTTAGCTTTTCTATTTCTGTTTTAACACAGTCTGTGCACTTAATACATTGAAGACCTGGGACTTTCTGTTCATCTTACTACCACTCCCTTTTACTTGTACTAGCACAGTAAGTCTACTTAGTACTTTTTATATCCAACAGCAGGGAAGGAGGATTCCAGCAGGTGCTGCAGACATGCTAACTGAAAAAGAATGCAGAGAAAGTGAGGAAATTTCACTTCAATATTATGTAGATACATATTTCGACATGCTTATTTTCTGTAGTATGTCTCCTACTGTGTCAGTTAACCCAGACTGAAAGAATGTCAATTTGAAGCTTACACTGGAGTATAATTCTGCATGAAGGATTTTTCAAGCAAAAATTAAATGAGAATAAAAATTCTTCGAGAAAGAACGAAGAATCTGGTCAATCTACCATGTTGATATTTAATAATGTGCTTGCCCAGGGTAGCCTGGAAAAGTCTGCTCCAACGGGTCTTGTCACAAGCTTTCTCGTGTATTTTTGATGTGTCCTTGGATGAAGTTATTTACTCTCAGGACTTCATTTTGCAACAGTAAGACTTCTGCATTTCAGCTCCTAAATTCCACTCTTCTCTCCAAGACAGCTTCTCTATTGTCTCATAATTCTTGTGTTATGTGCAAATCATATATTAAGGTATTGCTCACTTTTCCCCTTCCCCTGGCTCTTTGCTGTCCCATTTTCTCTATCACTTGAGTTAAATGCATATTTGTCATATGGCTTCAGGACCTTTTTTAACTTCTCCTTATGCTAGTTCATTCCCATACAGTGTTTCGCTATTTCCCACTTTCAATGCACTACAGTTTTTTTCAACACAAAATCCTTAAACTTCACTGCTTTTTTTCTTTTTTCATTCCTATGTTAATCTTCTGTTGTCTCCTCTCTATTTCCCCCAAAACATCTCCCTTTCAAACCATTCTGTCCTCCCCAATCTATGCAATGTTTTCCAGCCAACATTATCTTTCTGGCTGAGGAGTCTGAAAATATTTTATCCTGTTTGATCTGCTTCCAGAGCCTCTCTCCCTTTTGCATCAGATGCCATCTCCTGAAACTGAATTCTCAGCTTAGCATATTCTGACTTAATTTTAATTATTTTCATATATTGTTTTCTGCCCTGTTTGTTCCCTTTTGTTTCATTCCTAGGCCTACCCCTTATGAGCTGCACTCTGACTTTTGCTGCCCTGCTCAGCCTTTTCTGTCACTTGCTGTAATCTTTCCCCTTTCTCTTCTACTGCCCTGGGTAAGGTTGGACCAGGTTTACCCCTCCAAAGTGAAACCCCTCACTGCTTCCATAGTTACTGGAGAGGTAACTAACTTCTTCCTATACCTTACTTGATTTTGAATGGTAAAATGCAGCAAGCAATTATACTGTGTTTTCTCAAAGAGAAGAACATCAGGATGTTTACCAGGCTCGAGTATAATGATTGGCACCAATTTTTGTCCTGGTTCTCTTCATTACATTTGCTCATGCTGTGTGCAGTCACTGTGACTGACAGTTCAGATGCTGTAAATGTCCTGGCACCTATAGGCTGGTGGATACCAGGCACTGGGCCATGAGATGGAGGAAGGTAAGTGTTATCACCACCACCCAGCTGGATAATTGGCCCCAATTTACCCTCTGCGCCAAGGCTCACTCCAGCAAGCACTGTCTCTCTAATACATACTGTAGGTTGGGGTGGGATATCAGCTTATGCCAAACAAAGTACTGTATACACTACTTATAGGGCACCGTGGAAATAATTAGTTGCACTAAGCTCACATGGGCAATAATCAACACTATGGTCTATAATCAACAGACATCTTCTTAAGAAAGGGAAAAAAAAAGGGTCCTTGTATATAATAAACTGAGGGAACTACCTGCAGCTTCATAAAAGAGAAGAAAGGCAAATGTTTACCTTATGGCAATGCTAGAAAACCACAGCATCTTTAACCCACCTTTTCATGGATTTGGGAGAGAGGTCCTTTTCTATATCCTTTGCAGGAGCATTGTAGGAGTCCGCATTGCATTCACTGTCATCATCGTATTCGTGGTCAAGCAGTGTTCTTGCCCACGTCCCCATGTCATAGGGGGGCAACATTCCTCCAAACTCTGAAGGCAGGATCTCAGGGTGTATTAGCTGATGCAGGCTGTTGAGGTTATTGCCATGCAGGAATATCTGTATGTACACATGCAGGTAAAATCAAAGCAGTATCACCAAAAAATGTCAAAGCCTAAATTACATCATCATTATTAGAGGATATTGTACATTTTCAATGTTCTGGCTGTACTGGGCTAACAGAGATGGCCACCAGGGCACACATCATCTCTGCCTTAAGCATAGTCATACTATGTTCATAGACCTACAAATTGATTACAGCATAAATGACTTAAAATTCTTGCAAGACAAGGTGCCTAAGGAGGGTAAGAACTGATGTCTGGTAACCAGATGGATGGAAGATTAGATAGACTGCCTGTCTCTTGTTATTTGCTCTCCCTAATCCTGTGAATTAATTAAGTGAATAAATTAAGAACATAAATAATAAATAAAATTAATATTAATCATATACATTAAAGAATATATATTGACTTTCAGCATCCAGCCAGCCATGAGTTCTATAAATAAGATAAATAGTGTAGTGTAATGAAAACTCCAATAGAAAGATTTTCTTCCTTAATATGGTGGCACTAGTAACTACCATCCATACCTGCCAAAATATGAAGTAATGACAGTAAAATAACTTCTGTGACAACAGTGAGGGAATAGTTGATGGACCATTTGATATTTTCCATCAATGTTTTGGTAGACTGATTTTCATATACGCTCCACATTTATATATATGTATATTAATATGACATATATGTATATGAATACTTGTATTTACGTTTATGTTGAACCTTATTGTCTCTCCTCAGAGATCTGCAATGTGTGACTGATGAGCACTAGAAACAGAGCACCTCTGAATTCAGACAGCCTTCTCCCACGGGTACTAGGGATCTGCAGACTTTCTGCTCTTGGGTATGGCTACACGGCCAGCTCACAGCAGCTATTTCTAGACTAGCAAGTAAGATGGGCCAGGATTCATCCCTTGGGACTAGGAGCAAGTGCCACGGCACAGTTCATATCCACATGGTTAAACTCCTTTCATCTCCAGAACAAGCTCACTTCATCCATACTGCTCACCGGTCCGCGCCATCCCCAAATTGTTCCTGAGGCAATGTCTAAGGAAGCACCAGCTGGCACCGGCCAGGGCCCTGCCAGAAAGTGTCCGTACAATTAAACGGCATCGAATCGCATTCTGCTTCACCTTGCAGAGGCTTCTCTGGACAGCTATACCCCTAGCATGGTTTATCCAGAGCTAAATTCAAAAGGCAGAAAGACAACAAGACCAAATGTATGCTTGTCTTGCATCCCTTATTTCAGCCCGTCTTCCAATCAGCTGTGGAGACAGGAAGCTTAATATGACCATGCAAACCCAGTAATGTTCTTCCATCTTGGAAAGGAATTTATCCTTGTGTGAAAGAACAAATATTAACGGCAAAAGTAATTTGTTTTATGGTGCCTTTCCAATGGAATGCTTCACTTCTTAGCAACTGTTTTTATACATGCCTAGTACTACATTTATCTGAATATAGATATCAGTTGCAAGTCTACCAGACATACTAAAAAAAATACAAAATAATTCAGGGTAAATGCAACAGATAAATAATGAGCCTGATAAAATTCTGAAGATAATTCCACTGAGTTTGGGGTTTTTTTCACAATCATTCATTCTGCCTCTTACGAGTTTTTTAATAAGATTATTTTAAATTTTATGTGCTGGGCATAATCACCACATTTGGATACTAAGTTTTGGACGCTAAATCAATATTTAACCAGCTGACTACTTCTTATAGGTATTCAGTATTGACAAAAACATTTGAAAAAAGTCTGAAAATATATGTAAAACGTTTCTGAAAATATATATCATTGATTCAGGTGTCTAAAAAAAAAATTAGATGCTGGTAAGCACCCCTGTTCAACTGTCTTGTCACTTATTTTTAATGTTGTAACACACCCATGTGCTGTACTTTATTCCCTGGTTATGCATATGCAGCACTTTAAAAGGCCTCAAACATAACTGGCACTATAATGTTCTTTGTTGACACTGTAGTCAACAAAGTGCAACTGAATTCTGCAAAATGGGTTTCATTTGCATATTCATAACAGATATCACATAAAAAGATTTGTAATCTATAGTTCAAAATTTGTGAATACCAGAGTACTCTCAAGCATAATCTGACAGTAAAAAACAGCTAAATGCCAAGGATCAGTGTGGCCTCATAGACTGTTTGAGGAGAGAAAATACAGAGTTGCTTAGAGAGCCGATCCCACTAAAAAAAAAAAAAAAAAAAAAAAAAAATCATCAGATTCTTTGTAGTGGCTTTGTACATGATGCCGATTGTGTTTTCCTGGATGACAAATGTCCTGTTACAGAAATAATATCATTCCATGTGCTATCACCACCAGGCTCTAATTTAATTGCACTGATGCAAATGCTGCAAATTCAGCGACATCTCACAGACTACTTGTGCTAATACACAGATGCATGCACGCAAATTTCCTTTCATTGGCTTTCATTCAAATCAGTATTTGCAAACTACTATACACCAAATGTGTGGTTTAGTTCACGCTAATGTCAAGGAAATCACACGAGGAAAGGACTTTGTACCTACTACCTCCGTTCATAAAAGAAAGACACAAATAATTTTAACAGAAATTAAATAGAATTGAACTGAATCTTAATAGAAACTGTAAAGTTGGCAATATTTTTTATATAATCCTGAGGAGAAAGCATATGCTTACATTTTAAAATACATTTAAGTAAACTGTTTGACTGTGTCCTTAAAGGACAACAGTGTATAGGTTTCTAAAACAGTTAAAGGTGTATTTAAGTACCTACTACCAATAGCAAGCCGATACATTGTATATGTCAACTTTATTAGCATAAGATATGTATGCTGACTACAACTGCCAGGTACTGGGACATTAAACAGAAGAATACCCTTTTTCGTGTCTTCTCCTTTAGAAAGGGCCGTATAACTGTGTAGAGGGCATGGATATACCAGGGCTGATTGACGAAATGTATTCCTCCAAACCGAGCTGGAAAGCTGTCCTGTATGTCACAAAACAAATACATACAATGTGAGTTGAGTCTCAATGCAAGGTTGCACACTTAACTTTTTTTTTTTTTTTTCTTTTCCTGAATGTTTTCATTTTAATAATAAACCTTAAACAAGAAGAAACCTTCAAAATTGTGTCCTCTCAGTTGAGTTCCAACCTTCCACACCAATAAGCAACACATCCTGGACAGAGAAGTAAGGAAGCATGCTGAGACAGCTACAGTATTCAAATAAAGACACAGCATTTCTAACCTCCAGAATTGCTTTAAACATTTATGATTTGCCCATAATCCATCTATGTGATATACTTTTATCTTTTCCACTTCTACGGATTGTAATCATTTTTAATAGTAACCATCTCAACTCTTCCAGTGTTATTGAAGAGCACCAGAATGTCCCTCTTGTTTCCACCTTAAAAAGAAAGCGTAAATCTAAACTACTATTCAAAATGTCTCCAATATTATCCATATTTCATAAAACTGAGAATGCATTAAACATTATGCATAAACTGTTATGCAATATCCATGACAGTAATTCTTGTCACATAGTCAGGGGCCTTCTGGGAGCTCAAATGTAAGGATAGCATATCTGTATTGAAAGCAATGACTCTTCTTTTTTCTTGCTGAGAAACACGAGGGGCAGACAACTCACTAAGAAAGATTCTGATCTGCGTTTTCAATTTCTAGGTCAAGAGAATATGCCAGAGGGTTTGGCAGTTTGAAGAGGGCAGCCACTCTGTCCTGGAATACTATTGCCAAATTCATTGCATGCCCTCATTTCGTCTTTGGCTGGTTGGTCGTACACTCAAACAACGCAGTAAGCTGATGCTGTCTCCTATGTTGCCTAAAGTTGCAGTACAGAACAAGGAAGAAAGAGGTGTAAACAGGTATCTAAACTGATGCATGTCCGCTTTTGTTTTCATGGGTTACATCAGAACCTTCACACTGTTTAGGTATACAGACTTATTAAATTAATGGCTTTCATATGAGCCCTTTTCAACAGGTGGTCCACTCTAGGCAGCCATGGTAGGCACTTGGATCAAAACCAGGTTCCTTACAGCAGCAGCAACTCCCATTTGGCAATACAGGTACAAACAAGGACATGCTTCCCAGCTACACCTCCTGCTCATCCTCCTGTGTGGATGCAGTAAAGGCAGCTTCAGGTCTGTGACAGTGGGATAAGAGGCTCAAATCAAGTGGTTAGATGGAGCACTGTGCAGATAGATGTACTTTGTCTCCTCTGGAGACAAGACACCAGGCCATATAGAAGCACTCAACAGTCGAGATGTAATCCACAGACCACCATTTGAAGCCTACTGATTTAAGGTCATACAGCACACAGCAAAAAAAATGGCCAAGAAAATATCATAAGGTATATCAACCAATCAAGAACTGTCAGATAAGGAAGGCAGGAACAGTAGGAAGGAAATCTTTCATTAAATGTTTCCAGATAGGAATATACATTGAAAAACTGCATGTGCCAAGAAACCTCTTTAGTTCTGTAAATGTGAACACACTTGTGGGAATAACAAAGCCTGAAGAGGTGACTTGCTCCTCTCAAAAATGCCATTCAATAATTGGAAGGCACTTCCAACCCAGGGGGTCTTTACATCGGGGTGCCTCCTGCCTCCAAATTACAACAACTTAGTGGATTACCAGATGAAATATTGTCCATCAGGGAGGCAATGCCTTTGCAATAATCTACAGGAAGGATGACAGCTACAATACGCGCCACTAACATCTGACTGGCCACAGAACAACAATCAATGCAATTAACAGTCTATTTTACAGATTTTCTCCAGAAACATTTGATTAACAACAGCCTCAAAATGCAACAATCCTATTGAAAGACTGTACTACAGAAGCGTCATCTTGCTAAATGCCTAGTTCTTGTCAGTGCTGCCTAAATGTCAAACAGGATGGTTGATAATTTGACATGTAATTCATCCCGCTCAATATCATAAATCCCCAAACACCATTTTGAGAATATAACCTCTGATGCACAAAAGGTAGTAAATTATGTCCCTATCACAGCAACACAACAGATCCATTAGGAAGGATAAATCACTGAATGACACTTTAACCTTTAGTTGCAAAAGATATCATTCATCTACAGAAGGCTGTGTTTATTTGGTTTATCATGGCTGCTGCTCCAGTAAAGAAGTCCACTGCAGCATGCTGTGCACCATGCATGAAAGAGGATACTCTAGAGCTGCAGAAGACATCTTTTGCTAGTTTCATCTATATGTCTCAGAAGATATCTTCAGAGTTAACTCTGGAATGTAAGCCTCATGGGGATCAAACACTTTTTATAATGTAGGCACTATGGAACACAGCAATGCAAACCGGCCATTCCTAGTTGCGTGCCTTCTTGCATGATTTTATAAGCATTTAAATTAATACAAGTGCCCCAAAACTCACACACATCAAGTTATGAAATGTTTGTTCTTTATTGCTCAAAAAATGTCTCACACAGAAACCGAGGACAATTTGTGAATGAGAAGATCTCAGTAGGCAAACAGCCATGCATACACACAGATTCAGAGCAGAGAGACAAAGATATTTGTATTCTACCATGGACTCAGAATGGATGACTCGTCAATACTCGGTATCTTTATAAAGATATTAAATTTCTAGCAGATAAAAGGAGTATCTTTAGAAGGTACCACTTTGACACTTCCATTATCTTTTCCTGCATCTTGGAAACCATTTACATGGAGGATCATGAATGTATGCAGAATGATCCTCAAACAGATGTCACTTGATATTAAAAGCCAAGTTGTCTCAGTGTTTTTCAGCCTTTCTAAAGGCATTTTCCAGAACTGACTAAAGAAGTCAGGTACTTAGCAATTTCTGTGACTGAATTGAGGTGCCCAAAGTCAGGAGCACTTCCTAAGGTGTAATCAGGAACCCTCAAAATTTAGGCCTGGAAAGAGAAAGGGCAATTTGGTCAGAATGATCCTGCATTGTACATAGTGATGGAACTAGAATTCAAAAGCTGCTGAACGAAGATCCAAAACCCAATCTCAACAGCACCTGGTGAGAAAATAAAAAAGTGGAATAAGCAACTACAGCTGCTGGAGAAACAGGTTTCAGAAGGTTGTCTGGCTCTTCTCAGATGTATCCGACTTCCACATGGGGATTTGCCAGACAGATGGCCATCCTACACAAACAGCAGGTAGGAATTTCTTCCAAATCACTGATTCTTGTGGGTTTTTTACACAGATCAAATCACAAGTGCGGCGGCAGTCACAACTGCCTCTATAGACATACTGCACTTCAACAGAAAAGCCTGTAACCTATGAATCACATGAATTCTAAGTAAAAGGAATCACATGCCAGAAAACAGTAAGTAATGGAGAACAGCCATGAAGTGAGCTGTGCATTTGACTGGAAAACTAGTAAATCTGATGGGGTATTACCAAACCACGAAAAAGAACTAATTATATACACACTGTGTGTGGATATTTTAGCATCCACGATAACCTCTGTTTATGCAGCAGAACACAACCTAAGGGTGCCCCTGATGAACACAGTCTGGGACATGGCAGTGCCACAGACACAAGCAAGCAGGTAGTTACTATCAGGGACCACAGACAAGGGACAACTAACAGTGGGCTGTCAAGGAAGAGGCAGACCCCTATACTACTGCTTGCAGGACTGGTCAACTACCAGTGCACGGCAGTAACTGACCTCTCCTCTAACATTTATAAGGCAGCATTGCAGAATGATCCCAAGCAAACTGCCTCACTGGGTTTCCATCTCTGAGGATATGGTTCTTCTCACTCACAGCACAGTGGTTTTACTTCTCTGCCACACATAATTTATATGACCTGTCTCCACAAACTTCCTCTCCAGGGACCCAACTGCCGTTGCCTGCTACTGCCCTTGGCACATGCTAAGAAGCCAGGTTTCTACTCGCTGGGCACCGCGTCGCACCCTGTGCTGGGCTCAGCCATCACCTGAGCCGGCTCTCAGGGTCTCATAGAGGGTCCTGCTCTCTGCTGTGGCCAGCTGAAACCCTTACAGCAATTGGAATAACTTAAAAAACAGTACATGACATTTTCAACAGTACCTAAGAGAAGAAAGTGCCAAATTCCTACTGAAGATCACTGTGAGCTTCTTAGTGGTGTCAGAACTGTTATCATAGAGATAATAAAAATGGCCCACATTATTCATCGTTACCAAATGCAAAAAATTATAGAACTTCTTAAAGTCCACAGCATTTTCCACTCCTTGGGTATCGTGTCTACATTTAAACCCCTGAAGTCTATTTCTAAAGAATTAGCCCCCCCCGCCAGCTGAAATCAGTACTGGAGTCAAATTTGTTTGCACAGCTCTTAGAAGTGTAGTCTTAGAAGCTGCTGCGACTGCTTTGTGCCCAACGGTGCATTGGCAGCCCAGCCACATCAGGGCCTCACGAGTGTTCTGCTCATCACCTGCACAAAGCCCCTCTGGAAACACCTTGCCACACACTAACACCGTGAGAGTGCTTGGGCACGTATGCTGTGGGGTCATGTTTGAGGGTTTGCTGTCCTTATGGACAGTGAAACTGGTTTTGGATACAGTTGAGAGTCATCCTTCAAAGGACTGTCTAGATAAATATAATGAATACACTCACACGCTTTATTTAAGTCCATGTTTGTGTGCTGTGATGAATTCAGGCCGTAGCATCCACAGGTGACAAGAGGGTAAAGAGTGAAAGCTATGAAAACTGTATCTTCATAACAAAAATTATGAGTTCAAAGATAGCATATTAAATTATTAATATCTTAAATGTCACTCAAGAGTTATTCCTAAGGGTAATAAATTCAGGTCTCCTCCAGCCATTCCAAAAAGTCAAGCACTTCAGGGGGAAAAAAAAAAAAAATCATTATGATGAACCAAAATAGTATCTTCATAATGGAAAGATACACTAGAAAGACACTGAAACATTCTGTCTGATGCAAGATGCAGCACAATTAAATTTAATTTTTAGATGTTAAAGAGGAAGC